TCAGAGTAGCTGCAATAATTCACAGCTGCTGGTGATCTGACTGTGGGGGGATTAAGGGGGTGTTTGGCATGAAGAGCTCGACCAAGATGAGCGAGAGAATGCATAAGGTCAGCCCACCCTGACCTCTCTCTCTCGCTCTCTCTCTTTCTCTCTCTCTGTCTTTCTCTGTTTTAAAAAAACTCTCCCTCACTTTTTTCTCTCTCTTTTTGTCTCTATCTCTTTTCCTCTCTCACTCCATATTTTCTCCCCTCACTCTTTCTCTCTCTCTCTTCCTCACTCCCTATATCCTCTCTCTCTCTCTCTCTCTCTCTCTCTCTCTCTCTGTCTCTCTCTTCCTCCCCTCCTGTTTTCTCCTCTCTCTATATCTCTATTTCTCTCTCTGTGTCTCTCTCTCTTCCTCCCTCTCTATTTTCTCTTCTCTCTCTATCTCGTTCTTTCTCTTTCTGTCTTTGTGTCTCCAACTCTATTTTCGTCATTTTTTACTTTTTGTATGATTTGAAAACTCAAATTTCCATATTGACTGTGTTAAAATTACAATTCCAGCAGAAATCTTAACAGGAATGCTCCAAATTTACTTGGGGAAAAAAAAAAAACTTGTCCCATTGACTTCCATTACGAATGTTAAGCATGTTTTCCTCATCTAAATAGAGATCGATTTGTTTCGGACAGTGTTTATATTATTATTGGAGTAAATCTTTGTGTCTCCACGGCAGCTTCACAGGAGAAGAAGAAATTCTTTTGTAACTGTTGATATAAGTTAATGTCAAAGATTTTATTACGTCATTTTTGACCATTTCTGTTGGTCTATTTATTATGAAACGTTCACACAATGTAAAGAGAATAGAGACGTATGCAAAAGTTTAAGCACCCCACCCCCGGTCAAATGATGTGTTTTGGTGTGAGAAGTGAACATGCTCTGTACAGGGAACTTAAATATGATATTTTTCTGCTAATTTTACATCACAAGTTCTGTTTACTCGATGAGTTTAACATGTTTTAAAAACATAAAACATAGTCACAGGCCATCATTTATGTTTTCCCCCAGTATGTCAAATTCAGTAAATAAACAGTAATTGTGCATTAAAATGTGCAATGTTAAACTGGGTTAAATTTGTAAACAAACAAAAGAAAGATAAAACATTTAGGAGTTGTGTGAAGTAGTATGAAGAAGAAATGTTAAAGATTCTGAGTCACTATTTAAATTTAAGTCAATTTATGACCTTGGGGGCAAAAGGGACGGAGCCATTATTACTCTGTTTATTGATTTGTCAAATGTTTTTGCTTGTCTGTCATGTCTTGTCCAGTTTGTCCATTTGTCTGTTTGTCAGTTTTTCTTCTGCCTTGTCCATAAGCTATCTCTCTCTCTTTCCTTTCACTTTGAGGGGTGAGATGGGGAGGTAGTGTGTGTGGAGGGGAGGGACTACATCAGGTTATCTCTGTATGACTATGAATAAATGGTGAATCATGTAACATTAATAATGAAATGAAAAAGAAAAGTTAATGTCCCTGTAAAGGGGTGGTGGTGGTGTGGCCAAGGAATACTGGCCTGGGCAAAGGAAGAAAATGCAAAATAGAAGCATTTTCACTAGTGGTTGAAGATTTTTGGACCCCATATATATATATATATATATATATATATATATATATATATATATATATATATATATATATATATATATATCATACCATGCCAGTGTGGGTGTGTATTGGGATGTATATTGGGGTGTGTATTGTGTATACTGGGGTGTGCACTGGGGAGTGTATTGTGTGTGTATTGGGCCTCAGACGGAGGGGGAGGTTGTTATCCTGTGGAGCTCGTCACTCAAATGATTTACAGTTTGAGGGCTGAATGAGTTTGTTCTGTAATGAAGCTCTAAAGAGGCTGTTACGCAAGATTTCCTCCCACTCTCACTGATCACTGCAGCAGGACGGGACTTTCACTGCAGCGCACGCTTGTGTTTATTTTATTCTATGCTCATCTCTCCTTTTTGCTTTACATGACTCATAATATTTCTCTTGTTTTTCACAAATAAACTATTGAAACTAAATCAACCCCAATGACAGCTAGAGCATCAGTGAAACTGAGAAAAAAAATTTCCATCTCTGTTCTGGTGTAGTTTTGTTGTAGTGAGGATGATGCTGAACCATGAATAATAGTGCTGATTCTCATACACCTCATTCTAATTTAGTCCTAATTTGGTCCTAATTTAACCTAAGTTTGGTCCTAATTCAGTTTGGGCCAAAGCTGCAGTTACTGCATTTTGCCTTTGTGCGGCAGTACAGGACTTTTACTGCACTACGAGGGTGTGCACTTATTTATTTATTTTTCAATGTCCACATCTCCTTTTTTACTTCATGTGCTTCGTAATAATGTTTGTTTGCCCCAAATAAAGCAAGTTTGTGTCTTGCACACAGACAGATGTTACTCCCTGTGCTGTGTCTCTGTTGTGTTTGTTCAGTGTTCTGATGTAGTTTCTGTGCTGCAGTGAAGTTTCATTCAGTCCAGTGTGGATCTAATGAACTAAACAAACAGATCGGTGAAGATAAAAGAGCTACAACAGAACAACAGCTTCACAGACTGAGATAAACATACAGCACTGTGCAAAAGTCTGAGCACCAAAAATGGTTCTTCTCTTGTTATAAGCTTGAATCGTAACAATAGCAGAACCATTTTGATGCTATATAGAACCATATACGATACATTCTCCATCATTCTGAAGAACTATTTCACTGTGCAAAGAACCATTTAATCATACACATGGTTCTTTGTGTTTTAAGGTTCTATATAGAAACGCTGACTTTAATAAAGAACCCCTAAAAGAACCATCCTTTTAAAGAATGTTTGTTTATTCACATTCACTCTAATGTTGTAGTGTTATTACTGGAACTATATCACACACTCACTGTTGAGATAAATGGTTTCCACAACTGCTTAAAACTTTTACACAGTACTTTACACAGTCATATCAAAAGTTTGACAACGCTGGGCTTATTATGCTTTGGTGATTTGAGTGAAAATAACTGAACCCGTCCTTTACAGGGAACACACTTAAATACGGCACATGACTGCAATATGTGTGTATAATAATATATGATGCTACCCAAACATCCAAAAAGCCCTACTGAAAAAAGTTATATTTGGCAGTCTTTTCTAATTTAAAGAAGTGAAAATATAATTTTTATAAATTTAACACGAATTTCAGAATTTCTGTAGTTGGTAATGTACCCTCATTTTGATTTAGTGTCTGTGCACACTCGAGCTGCATGGACTCTACAAGTGTGTGTAAAAGCCTCTGATCTTAACATGGTCAGTGTCACATTGTCTTAAATTATAAATAATCATACAAAAAATCTTGAATTCTTGAATTCTTCATTTTGCTTGTAATTACTTTTTTAAAATTATTTAAAATTTGAAAAATTACAGTTTTCACTGTGGTCTCAGATTTTTGGACCACTCTGTGTATACCATCAGTGTCAGAACTACTTTTACAGGACTTTACGGGAATTAAAGCAAAATCTTAACTTTCTATGTAAGTTAATATAGGAAGATTTTATTGTAAGTTATTTTAGCCCATTTCTATTTCTCTGCTTGCCATGAAATAAATTACAACTTTTAAATCTTCTAATTATGAGACAACAAATTGAGATTCAAGTTTTCAAATGTAAAATTAATAATAATATTTTAAAAAGTAATAATAATAATATTTGGGAAATACCTTGGTTTGTTTTAATGTTGTGACTCTGAATGTTCCCACTGTTCCCCGTCCCCATCATTTACTGCTGATTTAATGTGTAAACACACAAACTTCAGTTTGGAGGGCAAAATGCTCAGCATTGTTTGTACAGTAGAGCAACATTTTGGGTTTTATTATTTTATTTCAGTGTAATTGTGTGTGTGTGTGTGTCTGTCTGTGTGTGTGTGTGTGTGTTTTACTTCAGACCCAGTGATCACTGCAGGCCACTCACCCACACATACAAAGAGTACTGTGTTAAATTAAGGGCACCCCACCTCATTTATTAAATTTCCAGTCAAAACAGTCATTAAGTACAAGTTATTACAAACTACACAGAAGTCCTAAGAACTAAATCTAATATCAGCTGTTTGAGTGTTCAGTGTCTCACTCTTTACCTTCATTACAGCTTCCATTCTTTTCAGGAGACTCACTTTCAGTTTCTCAAAGAAATCTGCAGACACACCTCCAAAGTTCAGTCTTAGGAGTTGGTTGCTCATTTTCTGAACTAATCCAAACACATTCAGTGATGTTGAGGTCTGGACTGTTTTGACTGGAAATCAAATCAATGAAGGTTGTTGAAGTGCTCTGACATATGCACAGTACTGTATGAATGTGAACCACAAATTCATAATAAATGTAACTCAAATCAATTAGGAAACGGTTCAGAACATTATATTTTACTTCCATTAAATAAAACACAATAGTTTATCATCATTATCATTATTATTTTTGGATGTTGAAAAACAAACAAAACCAAAATAAACAAAAAAAGAGAGAGAGAGAGAGAGAGATAGAGTCCGTACCAAACAAGTTGTCCACAGATTAAACCCCATGTGATGGAGCAGATTTGCCCAGGCTGTCTATATCCTACAGCTACATCCACACAGACACGTAACCACACACTTACTATATACATCCCCCTTATTTATCTTAATTTTTTTTTTTGCAAGCAAGACTGTTAGGTTTATTTATTTCTTTATTTTTTTTTACCACATGCTGTTTTAAAGTGTGTTTAAAGAGCTACAGCATTCACTCCAATTGGAGATGATGATCTTTAGACATATATACAGGCGCACAGGCCAAAAAGAAGCTCATGTAAGGAGGGGTTACATCCCACCCCCAAACCAGCATCCAAATAGGAGAGTTATCATAATAAAAACTCAAGCAGGAGAGACTTTGCTTCCCTTTGCATTAAATTCCGTCCATTCTGGGTCATCAGTGGTGCGTTTATTTATTCTAGAGCGCTTATAGAGTCCTGGGGCTGGGGGGTGGGGGGTGGGGTTAAAGAAGTAGCGGGGGGCATTATACTTTGTCCATTTTTGTTCATGGTGCTCCATCAGCAGTGTAGTTCTAGCTCCCCTTGTTAGAGGGAGCAGAAGTCCTTCAGAAGAGTTGAGGGGTAAAATTGGTGGGGGGTGAAACTGGAGGAGGGGGGTAAATATCTCTTGTGGTCACCCACTTTGGGTCACCTTGCACCCTCAGTGTGGATATTCTAGTGCCCTTTGAGAGAAGGGGTAATATGGGAGAGTTATGGCTTGGGAGGGGGGGGGTAAACTAGGATAGTAAATGGGAGTTAAAATGGTGGGGTAAATGGAGGAGCCCAACAGTGAGAGCTTTGCATTCCATTTGGGCCATGTAGGTATTTGAGGTGTAGGTAGTCTAATGCCCTATATAGAGGGTAATGGGGAGGTTTCAGGGGGATATTTGTCCCAACCTCACAATAAAAACTTTGTCCTAAACTCCATCCATTATAGGTCATGGTGCACCCATCAGTGTGAGTGTTCTAGTGCCGTTTTAGTGAGGCAGGGTATTAAGGTAAGGTCCTTGAGTTTGGAAGGAGGGTAAATTGTAGAGGGCCAGGGTAAACTGGGGGAAATGGAGAGATAAACTGGGGGCATGTCCCAGCTCTACATTAAGAGCTTTGCTTCTTACATTAAAGTCTATCTACTTTGGATCAAGGTACATCATCAGTGTGCTTGTACTAGTACTTCTTTAATAGAGGGGGTGGGAGTTAAGAGTCTTAGGTTTAGGGGGTGCCAATTTGAGGGTCTCAAAATTACAGTGAGAGCTTTCCATTTGTGATAAACTCCAACGCACCATCAGGGGCCTCTGAACAGGCCCTAGAAGTGGGGATAACAGAGAAGAGTCTTGGTGTTCAGAGGGGCTAAATTGAGGGGCATAAATGACAGAGAGGGGTGTTCCCAGCCCTACACTGAGTGCTTTTCTTCCCTTTTACGTCCATTGTGGGTCTTGGTGCGCCATCAGTGGTGTTTTTTGTTCTAGCGCCCCCTTTATACAAGAGGTAATTGGTGAAAGTCCTGGGGCTGGAGGGTGTGAGGGTAAACAGGGGGTAATTTTGGGTTTTTTCCCCAGTGTCCAATCCCTAAACGGGTCTATCCACTGCGTACTGGCACGCGCTGAGGTTGGACGGGTTTTGCACCCCTGCATAGCCAAAGCTGGAGTGCTGCTTGGCTTTCAGTCTGAGACTGGCCAGACTGGAGTTGCATGTGTCCCGGTAGACATAGGGCGGCGTAGGGGGTGCGTAGGGGCAAGCAGGGGCAGAATTGAGCGAGGGTCCGCCCAGGTTGTTCAGGGGGTTACCGAGAGGCGTGTTGAGGCCCGAGGTGGGCACCATGCCCGAGGAGACGCTCATGGAGGAGATGGAGGTGGGTGGAGAGAAGACGGCCTGAGAGCTGAGCGGACTCACGTTGACCGAGTTAAAGAACGGGAAGCTTTTGGCTGACAGAGAGGCCGGTGCCAGGCTTTTGGCTGCCCAGTTGTTGTAGGGTGGGTAGCTGGCATACATGTCCTCATAGGGCTGCACCAAGCCATTAAACTGGGCACCGAAGCCGCCCTTACACAGCTCCGCTTGCTGGTTGCGCTCACGCTTGCGCCACTTGGCTCGCCGGTTCTTGAACCACACCTAGAGCAGAGATGCAGAAACAATATTAGCATTAATAATGGGACATCATGCATATTAATCATACTATTGCAGTGAATGCATGTTAATATAAACTACTGGTTTTAGCACCAGACTGGTTGCTTTATAAGCGTATATCTTTGGAAAATACAAATTTTGATAATGGGAATATATGCATATTCATTAATGCCAGTTGCTGCAGTGAATGTCTGATGAAGCAAAACAATACTAAAGTCAGATTAGTTGCTGCACAAGTTTTAAACGTGAATTTGCATTATAAGAAAATACAGGTATTAAATATAAGAAGATTAGAATGCATGCATATCAATTAATATTAATCACTGCAGTGAATGCATGTAAATGTAATTCAGTTAACAAGACTGCCAAAACTGAATCTGCATATAAGACATTATAGGAATGTATGCATATTCATTTATATCAATTACTGCATTCAAGCTAATTTATATCAAGGACTACAGTGCATGCATTTTAATGTAAAACATAAGTGAAGTCAGACAAGTTGCTGCATGAACATACACAAATAAAAAATACATATATGTGTTATGGAAATGTATGCATGTTAATCAGTGCAGTTTATGCATATTAATTTGTAGTAAGTAGTGCATTTCATGCCTATAAATTACAGTAGTAACTGCAGTGCATGAATATTAATGCATACATTAATACAATCAATTACATTGGGTGCTTCATTAGTATTAAAACTGAATCTGCACTATAGCACACAACTGAAATGTACAGATATTAATAACCGCAGTGCATGCATATTAATTCAGTTTAATTATTGCAAAGCATGTGCACGATCGGGCTGGTTGAGGCACGTTTACACTGAATCGTCGCGTGCGTGTAGCAAAGTGATCAAAAAACTTTTTAATGCTGACTGTCTTTTCTCTATTATTATTATTATTATTATTATTATTATTATTATTTTTATGTGCAGCTAAATATTTCCTGTAATACTTCAATGCATCGCAGTGAATGGATCATTAATTAATATAAACTCTTACTAAAGTCTTTATTTAAAGTCAGCGCGCGCGCTCCACATGACACTTTAAGTCACAAATGCATGAACAGGACGTGCAGTTTACAAATAAAGATCAGCATTTAAAGCTAAAATTCAACATTTAATGTCACATAAAGAACAAAGAAATTATGCTGCATGCCCTTTTACCGCAATACACATCCACCACTGTTCGTTTTAGCGCTGAGAGTGGCGCAAATGTACAAACTGCGGTTATAAACAAGGCGCAAATTCAGTTTACAAGGACGTAAAAGACAATTCAGCTAAAAGCTGAACTTGCATGCATCGACTGCACGTTTGATTTGTATTTTCAGAAGAGATTTTGCAGACAGTGTTAAAAGCCAGGAGACTCGGTCGGGTCTGAACTCTCTCATTAGTCCGGCTTTATCTCTACACGCTGCTTTATCCCAATACACATCCTTCTCTCGCCTGTTAGCGTGTGTATTAGGGTCAGAGAAGCCAGTCAGACCAGAGTATTAGTCTACAGCTCAGTCTGCACAGGCGAAAACACATGGATACCAGTCACTGCAGTGCATGCATGCTAATGTAAACTGGTAATAAAGTCATCCATGCTAATGTAAACTGGCAATAAAGTCTGAACTTATACACTTTAAAAACACAAACGCAGTTTACACCTAAATAAGGGCGCTAATTTGTCGAGAATTTGAGTCTTTTGGCAGATTTAATTCATACAAACGTTAATTATGGTGTGTCAAACCTGAATTTGCAGAAATGCACGTGCTAAGCATTTGAGTCCTTAGCATGAACAATATATGTAATATATGTAAAATTTAAAAAAGAAATGGTCAGTGGTTTTTATATGTTAGAACTCAATCTGCATTATAAAACCCTAATGCGCGCGCTGAAAACGCAGTTTACACGCAAAGAACGAAAAATAAAATTGTGAAGTATGTAATATTTCACTATGTCAAAACATAGTAAAAGTCAGTCAGCCTTGTTGTTGAGACCGATGCACGCGCTGCAACAGCGGTTTTCATGCAAAAAAATCCCAAAATTGTAAAATTTATGGCATGTTTCATTTTTTTTTTTCATTCAATTTTTTGCTGATTAGTTCCACGAGCTGTTAAGGCCACAAATCAGCTCTCTCTCCTGGCTGCGCTTGCAGTTTTAGCCCAATACACACCCAGCTTCATGTGTCACACAATAAACTCTATAAAACCCAAATCTACACATTGCGGTTATAAAATTCAGGCAAATTCACTTCACACGCAAAAGCGATAAGTGAATAGAGCTGCATTGTGATGCATACATTCATTAGCAGATTAGTTAAATAGATTATGCAGTCTGCATCAGTGTCTGTCTGTCCGTCTGTAACCGATCTGGAGGTTTATCAGCCCAATACACATCCAACTTTAGCCCGGAGCGTGCGCGTGTGCGCTATTTCTGCCCCATAATGAGCTTCTCAACAAACAGCGACGTGCTAATTTATTTGCCTACATACATTATTTCAACAATTACTCACACGTTCGCTAATTATTACAATTCTTCGCTTCCTTCCTCAGTGGTGCGCGGTTCCATAACAAAACAGGAATAAAAGCCACTAATAAATCGCTAACTTTCTGAAAAAAAAAAAAAAAACTTCATTTGATTCAATTAATAATAAAGCTTTAGCTAATTTATTCAAAATATAGTCATACATAGTGAATTACTATCTATGCACAAACTGAATCAGAAGCGTGTATAAATTGTGGGCGTAAAAAGTTAATCTGAATTATCCTTAATACGCTTTACAGGCTCTATAGATTAGCGCGGGATTTTTTTTTTATATTTTTGAATCCTAAACAGCTGGAAGACTTTGGAATGTAGAATTGTCTGAAAGTCCAAACTAAAAAAAAATGACCTGAACAATTCACAGAGTTCACATTCTGATTCGGACGCGGGCTAGAATTTTACAAAAAACTTCGCATAAATTTGATTTTGTAAATCAATCAAACCCTGTCCGCGGAATAGTATTAGTAATTTCATTTGATTAAAACTCTATCTGGACTCTACACACTCAGGTTGAAGTATATTTTTGTGTTTATGTATTTTAAGATTAAAAATAAAATGTAAATTATAGCGTTTGTAAATTTTACTCAAATAGCAATCGCCTACCGCGTGCTCACATTTAGTGCGATATAGGTCTATTTTATGCACAAATATTTTAATAACCCTTATCATAACCCCGTCTTTAATGTTGATATATACTATTTTACTGCATGCATTTGTTATTATGACTCAACTCTGCTTTTAAAATCAAATATGTGTTCGCATTATATATGTTACATATTCGTGTATTTTAGTAACATTGTTGTAATATTGATAGTCTTGGTGTGTTGATCTGATCTCTTCGCGCGCGCTCATGTCCGAGTGAGTTAGTACTTTATTGTATACACATCTTACTGACTCTCACTCTAAACTCTAGCCTCAGTTAAGGTCAGAAATAGCATTGACAGAATATTTTATATCATGTACATATATTTTATATATATCTAACGCCTCTTACCCTGACTCTGGCCTCCGTGAGGTTCGTCCATACTGCGATCTCCTCGCGCGTGCTCATGTCCGGGTAGCGGTTCCTCTGGAATGTGGCCTCGAGCTCCTGCAGCTGCGCGCTGGTGAAGTGCGTGCGCTGCCGTCGCTGGCGCTTCTTCTTACACGGGTCATCGCACGGGTCATCCTTAGAGCTGGATTTATCCTTATCTGCAGAGAAGAAGCATTTAAACCTGCATTAAAATCATAACCTCATCATAAGGACTATGCTTAGAATTAGACTTTTCTATAAACTACCAACAATATGATATAATAATACTAATATTATCACACTGGTCATATTTAGAGCTCAGTTTACATTTGGCTATAAAACATACGCGCAAATGTATGTTAAAATTATACAATTGTAAAATTATATAATTTTAAAATTATAAAATTAACAGAGAGGTCATCTTTAGAACTGGACTTATCAGCTTTAAAAGACAGAATAATACTACTGTTATAACTGGTCATCCTCAGAGCTACCCTATGCATAAAGAAATGTGCATACACTTATATTAATATTATAAAATCAGTACTTTCTCAGAACTCTAGATATTCATTTTTATAAAGAAATGCATTAGCATATACTTATAAGCACCACTTATACTTATCTGTGAATAAATATGCATAAAAAATATAACACAATCAACCGCGATAGACAACTTAGACCCAGATTTATCTTCATTTTACATTAAAATATTAAAATTATTGTCACAAAACCATCACTCTCATCTACAGAGCGCCTTACTGACACAGAAACACGCTAAATTAGCGTATATAACATACGGGTCTTTTAGAGTAGAAGCATCATCATCTTCATCACCATCAACAACAACACCATTGAATGCTAACTTTATTAGCATACATACAATCCACTTTCTCTTGAAATTACATACATTAAAATACACTATAATCACGTGCGTTCACATACATACATACATACACACGCTCGCGCGCACACGCCCTATCACGACGAAGTAAACCCCTTTAACATTTCCATTCACTCTGAGAGGCGGACTCCTCCCTCTCTTTACACTCCAAATACAAACACCACCATTAAACAAATAATATTTACATAAAGGTTTGACATTCGGCTCTGTTTATTTAGGTCTTTACACACACTGCTGTGTACAAATACAGTATCGATAAAAAATAACGCCGACATGAAGGATTCCTATTCAAATATAAAGCGCTATAAACCTGCTTTAGTGCAAACAGTACAATTCAGTTACGCTGCGCGCGCCTTCATGTTAGCGTGAAATGAACCATTTTCCATTTAAAGAAAGTTTTTGTTGACTTTCAGATTTGAGTTTAGATTTGTTTACACTGCCCTTTTCATGACCATGTGTTAAATTATTATTATTATTATTATTATTATTATTATTGTTATTAGTGGTATTAGTAGTAGTTTAATTGTTTAATATACACATTTTCTATATTGTTGAAATCTAGCAAAATTAAAATTCTACATTTTTTAACTATAGAAATTAATTTCCTATTGAAAACGTAACTAATTTGAACTCGACAAAAATTGATCTACTTTCCATTTTCAACCTGTACACTACTGCTGTGACCACACACACATTCACAATAATAATAATAATAATAATAATAATAATAATAATTATTATTATTATTGTCCTTATTAGTAGTAGTCATAGTAGTAGTACTAGTAGTAGTGTTTTATAGCAGTGTTGAAGTTAATTGAGTCAAACATGTACATACAGATTATTTAACTTTAGCACAAATTTGTAGTAATTCTATAAAAAATGCGCTGCATGAACACAGTCTGAAATATTATATTATATAATTATGCTGACTCGCGGAAGTAGATACTTTTCAGCCTAACTTACACTTACAAACCTACATTTAGCTTAAAAACAAATACAAAAGATTTTAAGTGTGCATTTCTGAAGAAATAAGCAAAACAGTTTTATAATTAACCACATTTTCACGCTATTAGCGCATTCAAATCTTTTCTTTACAAGCAGCCCTCGCGCTCACATCCGCAGCCTCAGTATTAACTTCACCCCAGAAGGCCAGAGCGATTTCGTCTTCGCGCGAATTGGGCCCTTACCTGCGCACTCAGGGCTCGAGGAGTCGGCCACGCTGCGCCCTTCCAGCCGCGGTTTGAGGGGCTGGAGGCTGGAGGCCATGGCTAAAGGAGTGTGCAGGGCGGCCGCTTTGCCCCCAGCCATGTGCTGCTGATGCTCCAGAGCCAGAGGATCCTTCATAGAGTTCATGGATCCGGAGCTTTTAGCCTTTTATTTACGCACGGCGCGCAGGCTTTCCCACCTCCACACGAACTAGCAAGAGAAGCAGAAGCTCAGAGGCTGGAGGATCAGCGGGCTCTCTGTGTTCACACAGTCCGGACAGCTCCTCTCCCAGCGAGAAGAAATAAATAAATAAATAAAGGCAGAAAGCCGCAAAGCATCAACTCCGCTCAGTTTGCGCTTTTACGCAGGGCGCGCGGAGCGGCAGCACGGAGTTTGGAGTTTTGATTCGAAGGCGTAAAGACGCAGCAGAGGCGCAGACGGAGTGACGAGGACAGGCAGGTGATATCGTATCCACTGGCATACACACATCTCTCACACGCTCTGCAGCTTTCCTGCTCTGCGCGCGGACCTACTGAGCCCCCTTCTGTCGCTCTCTCCCTCTCTCTCGCTCTCTTTCCCTTCCTCCCTCTCCCTCCCTCTCTCTCTCTCTATCTCTCTCTTTCTGCGCAGCGCCCTCCCTCCCCTTTTGACAGCCCATCAAACTCGCCGTGACAGGGGTGTGTGGCCAACCGGGGAGAGAAAGAGGAGAAGGAGGCCTGGGCGTGTGCGCGCGTATGTGTGTGCGTGCTTATTTATCCTTTCACATGAAACCGACGCATAGAAGGAGATAGATGGGACGCGGCGTGGGGCAAAAAACAAAGAAGAAGAACAAACGAAGAAGAAAAAAAAAGATAAATTAAACAAGTTTAGTTTTAGTAATGCAGCTCTCAAACACTACACTCAACACCAGAGTATCGAGGAAGAAGAAGAAGAAGAAGAAGAAGAAGAAGAAGAAGAAGAAGAAGAAGAAGAAGAAAGAACTATGATAATGCTGAATAAATAAAGAAGAAAGAGAAGAAGAAGAAGAAGAAAAAACAAACATGAAATAGGATAGTGAAGAAGAAGAAGAAGAAAAAAGAAGAAGAAGAAGAACAAGAGGAGGAAGGAACTATGATAATTATGAAGAAATAAAAAAGAAAGAGAAGAAAAAGAAAAAAAAAAACAAGCCAGAAATATGATATAGAGAAGAAGAAGAAGAAGAAGAAGAAGAAGAAGAAGAAGAAGAAGAAGAAGGAGGAGAGGAAGAAGAAGAAAGAGAAGAATATGATGATGAAGTAAAAATGAAGAAGAGGAAGGAGAAGATGATGATGGTGATGATGATGATGAAGTAAATAAGAAGAAGAAGAAGAAGAAGAAGAAGAAGAAGAAGAAGAAAAAGAAAAAGAATAATAATAATAAGAAGAAGACTCTTTTAAAATAGTGCCACAAAGAGTTCTTTGAACTATGCCGTAGAATAACCACTTTTGGCTCCCTAAAAAACCCTGTTTGTGAAAAGGAGATTTGTGAGTGTGTTTTTTTTTTTTAAAACTGTACAGAATCTTCACATAACATAAAGACTCTACAGCAATTTCAGGGTTCTTCTTGGAACATTTGCATTACTAGAGATTTATGAAAAGGATCTTCACAGTTAGTTCACATGTCATTTACAACATGAATTTTGGAAGAAGAAGAAGAAGAAGAAGAAAAGAAGAAGTAGAAGATCTGGTGAAGACAAGGAAGAAAGAAAAAATGAATCTCAATTCTCATAATCCATAATGTTACTAAATACCATCTCCAAAACATGATCACTCACCATTTAAACCAGCACCAACACATGATCACCATATAAACTCCCTTCATTCTCTACACTGTAGCTCTCTGTGCTGTAGCCTTTCCTCCGTGCTGAAAAGCAGGCTGCATTTTGTGCATAGCTGAAGTCTGCAGTGTCTAATCCTGACGGCCGAAGCCTGCGTGAATTAGACCCTCCACAAGATAACACAGCGCACTCTAACAAGCACTAATCCACTTCAGCCTTAAGGGCAGAGCCACTGCCCCGCCAGCACCACCATACTGTTCTTATATTATTGCCAGATTATAGTCACATTAATGGCATGTCAGCACAGAGGGCCTAAATTACACACAGGAATCATGCACAGTCCAGCACTGGCCTTGAAAGAGATTTTCACTGATTTTGCAAAGTTTCTGCACAATGAAATGTAGTTAAGAAAGGTAGAGAAAGTCATTCAGAGTGGTTTGATGTTCTAGAGAAACTTATTGAGCTTGTTCATTCACAGTGGTGGTGATAGGAACCAGACGTCTGAAGAGTTTAGTGCAAGAAATGGTTATGAATATGCTGCCTGAGAGTGCTTTTACAATAGTCGTGAGAAAGATATGGCCATTGTTTTCAGATTTTCCCAGATTTTCCACTATTTTACCATCATCATTCCATATACAAACTCAAAAGACACTTGTAGGTTCACTGGTGGTTTGGGATGGTAAATAAAATGGCTGTATTTATAGACATATTGACCTCTGGGTGCTATGACCAGTTCTTTTTTCTCGAGAACAGAGCATTTCAGACCAAATCACTCCGAATTACTTTGTCTGAAGTGAATAGTCTTGTTTAAAAGGACATTATAGTCACATGCAAATCAAATAACCAACTCTCATACGGGCGCTAAAGAGAGCCAGACACAGTAATGGACAGCCACATTCAGTAATAACACTCTCTTGGTGCTTTAAGTCACTCATCGCACACTGCACATACACGAATCATTCTCCATGAAGGCAGCCTCTCTGACTCAGCTTAGGAAAACTGCCTAAAACACCTAGAACAGTCATGTTGGAGGAATCTGTAAAAGGGTGGGCACGGCCTCACCACTCCACTGAGCTCAGTTTAACCGCAGTACGATATTCTGCTTTACGCTTTGCGCATTTGGACTTTTTGCAACCTCAATGTAAAATGCAGCCTTGAATATTGTTGACATATTAGTCCCGGTGTTCGTGTTCGGTGAAATTAAGCTTACTATGAGCGCTCTTATCTAGATCATCAGCGCTGCTTCCGTCGCTTATCTGCTTGTTAAATTGCACTAAATGTGTGCGCCTTTTTTGGGCGAAGTCTCCAAACCACCACCGTGTGTGTGTGTATTGCCAGCCCACTTCT